AAAACAATTTTTTAGTTCAAACTGAGCTAGTAACGGCTTCGTTTAATAGTGGTTTGGCCATCTAGTTTGGTTTGGTTTTTTAAACAATAATACATAGAAGGGGAGCATTATTTTAGCAGGAAAATTAGGGCTATGCAAAAGTTTTCTAATTCTGTTCGACCCAGTTTGACCCAAGAAAGTTTGATCCTATTCAGTCTTGTTAAAAATTAATTCTTTATGATTGAAAAGACTAAAAAGATTAAAGTATTTCTTCGGGTTGAATTAGATAGGAGACTAGGCATCTGAACCACTTAGTCTAGTTTGGTCCTATTAAATTTATTTAATATGATAATAATTAATTTATTAATTATTTATAATAATAAGCTAAGACTGTTAATAATTTCATAAGTCTAGTTCCTTGCACGGTTGCACTCTCAGACTAATAATTTAATAATCTGAACTACTTAAACTATAACTAAAATATTTTTTTCTTCTTATTGAAAATTATTATGAATTTATTATGACTATAAGTGTTTTTATTATCTTAATTGAATTTATTAAGTTGAAATGTATTATTATCTGTCATAGAAAAAAAGAAAAAAAACTAAGTAAGTACTCGACTAATAGGACTAGTCTTTTAGTTCTATGAACTAAGTCTAATCCTATTAATCTTTGGGTTATTACTAAATTATACTAAATTATGGGTTGCCTAATCCAATTTTTTAAATAAAAGAGACTAGACTTTGAGTTAGGCCAAAGTTGAATTCTATCTAATCTTTTGTACAGGTCTAAGGAGAACAATTGGATTTGGTGTGAATGAATTATTGAAGTGAAAGAAATGATACCAACAGAACGCATTATTGATTGAATAATGAAAATGATAGTCACACGCTTGGATCTTGGCATTGTCAAGCCTAAAATTGACAATATGAATGTTATATCATGTACATTATCAATTTGGTAATCTTCTTTGCCCTTATTAACTTGATTCATATAAGCAATCTCCTTCCAATGCTATCTCTAGATTCTAGATTAACCTGTAATTAATATATTGAGGCTTTCAAAATGTGATTGGCATGTTGATGTTCCTATTCCTATATAGCGAGAAAGAAATCGCTGTAGTTTCAATTTTTAAAGCATCTATATTGATAGCTTCATTTGATATTCTTCGAGTCTTCGTGATGATAGCATATTCCTAGCCAGGTTGTGCGATAGGCCTATGGCATTTTGGTGTAATCATTTTTATTAAAATAAATGATATTTTCTCAAATTTTCAATATAACGTGCCTTCTAAAACACGTTCTTAATCAAAATTACAAGATTTTATATAAAAATATATAGGGTTAAAATATAAATCTATTTAAAAATATTTAGGGTTAAAATATAAATCTATTTTCAAAATTTCCACCAAGGCGTACCTAGTGATGAATCCATGCTTCAAAGTTCATTTATAATTAAGTAAAATTTTGTTTATAGAAATGATAAAATTAATTTTAGCCCCCTACTTTTTGATAAAATTTCAGTGTTGTCCCCCAACACACTCGCACAGATTTCTAGATTTGTCCCCGGGGGCACCAAATATCGTTAAGCTTTTTTTGGTATAATTTTGCCACAATATTTTTTAAAATGGTACAATGTTGTCCTAAGCTAACAAATCCAAACATTTGACTGTTTAGTTGACTTATTTTGCTTAAGTAGCATGTTAACATGACATATTTTAAAGATTAAAAATTGAAAAAAAAAAAAAGAAAAACATATTCGCCTTGGTAGCTAATATTTTATCATGCCTCACTGTCAAGGTGATCCTCTTAGTCCTCTCTTGCATATTATGGCAGCTAATATTTTATTATGTCTCATTGTCAAGGTCGACAATTCTAGGATTTGGAGAGGAATCAAGATTTGTATGAATGCATCCCCGCTGTCTTGTCTGTTGTATGTTGATGATTTGATTCTGTTCTTTGAGTTTACTTTCAGCCAGTTTGCAAGTAGTCAATCATGTGCTACATTCTTATAGTCAATGGTTTGGACGAACAATTGATAAATCAAAGTCCTACTTATTCTTAACCCTAATGTTAATGATCAGGATAGAGGTTTATGTGAGGAAATGTTAGGAATTCCAATAATAGATCGATTAGGGAAATGTTGGGGATCTTGGATTGATACAGGTCATGACAAATCTATGGTATATAAACAGTTGATTGAAGCTATTGACAAACAACTTGCTTCCTGGGAAATTAATCTATTATCACAGGCCTCAAGGTTAGCTCTGATTAAATCAGTTCTCTATGCTGCTAACATTTATCAAATGTCTTGTATTGAACTCCCACATCACATCTTCAGTTTAATTGATTCAAAATGCTTAGATTTCTTTTGGGGTTTGTCAAATGCCAAAAGACACATGCATCTTGCTGACAGGAACATGTTATTCTGTCCAGTTAAAGATGGTGGCCTTCGATTGAGACCTACCCACTTGGTGAAGAAAGCTTTTCTAGCTAAACAAATTTGGAGATTATTAGATTCAAAACATGGTTCCTTGTTAGCCAACACTTGAAAGATGAAATACATTGACTTAAGCTCTTCTAAAATTATAAGGCAACCTTATAATACAACTTGAACATGGAAGGGCATCTTAAGCAGTGCAGAGTTAATCACACCTAGGATTCGTTGGAGAGTTGGTAATGGGAATACCATTAGTTTGGACAACCCTACCTGGATCTCTCACACTCAAAGGCCTAGCGTTTACCACCATCTGCAAGGTATCTGATCTCATTTGTTACAATTCTAACCCATGGATTCCTCTCTCTTGGAACAAATCCTTATTGCAAATCGTTTATAGCCATGCCACGCACGACCTCAAGAATACTTAGTTGGCTAATCTCTCTTCAAGATAAGCTACATAAATTGATTTAAATAAGGAACTTCTCAAGAAAATAATTGGTTCGAGATGATTTCAAGGAATTGTTAGTCTAAACCATGCCCAGGAATTTGCAATCACATTCTAAACTGCAAGAATTATGAAAGCTTTATCTCCTTTATAAGAATCTTCGTTTTATATGGAAATTGCTAAATAAAGCAATTCCATCGGTTGATGTTCTATCTTAACTACAAACAAAAATGCCTGTTTGGTTGTAAAGAAGATGGATCTCTGACACATCTTTTCTTCAAGTGCCCCTATGTCCATGCTATATGGCTTGGTGCATTAGATATCCGATCAGAAGCTTATTAGCGGATAAGACTTCTCGAAAATCCATGCTATATTATCATCTCTGATAATGGAAAATAAAAAAACAAAAAAAAATGACTGAGATAAATTATTATTCTTCACACTCTGATTTGGAGGAAAAGGAACTTAGCCTTACATAGGGTGGTTGTTGCTACTCCATTGTTCATCCAAGAATTTCGGAATCCTGTTCTCTATATGTTTAACTTGTGTTCTTGATCAGATTTGTCTCCACCTTTGCGGCAATTTAGCTCGTCAATTCTGACCAGTAGCATTCATTTGGTTGTGTTTGGATGGTCAATTTGGATATATGAGGTTAAAGCTAACAAGTTTTCCTAATGTAATCTTTGCGTCAGATGGAACATGGAGGTTTTATAAGAATTTTCATGTAAAAAGGGAAAAATAGGAGTAACATCTTACGTGCCTGTTTGGTTATGCTTCAAAATTGATTTTTTTTTTTGGGTGTAATCGATTATTAGAAAAAAATTATCCAAACATCATAAAATAAAATAATCAATTTTTTTGGTTAAAATCACTTTTTTTTTTGGAGAGCTAGCGATTTGAGCTTTTGAAAAAAGTTGATCAAAAAATGTTGGAAAAAATTATAAAGAAAAACCCAAGAAAAATTATAAAAAAAAGCACAAAATTTAATAAAAATAAATCAGCTCTATTCTCTTCTCTCTCTCTCTCTTTTCTTAGTAAAATTTGAATTTTGAGTCTTTAAAAAAATAAAATATTATTTTCCCTGTCAATCATTATCATCCATTTAGCACTTACTATAAAACTAATTCAAATAAAATATTAATTAGTTGAAGAAAATTAATTTAATTTAATTTAAAATTTAGAGTCATTATAAAAATTATTGCAAAGATCTAGAGAGAAAGTGAGAAAGATTTTGTATCATTTGTTATATTGCTACATTTTTTATGTTGCTAAAATTCTAAGGTAGTGCTTAATGTTTTCATTTGATATAACTCATATCCATGATGTCATTAAAGATCAATGTGTATATTATCATCTTTATTAGTTATTGTAAAATTGATATTTAATATTTAAGAATTAAATCTTTTTCTTTTATTACATTTATTTTAACTAAGATATATTGAGTTACTTATTTACGTAAATTTTAATGTTAATATTAATATAATTTAAATTTGTTGATTAATTAGATATGTAATTTAAATAATATATTTTACTTTTTAAATAAAATGTAACAACTTTAATAATATTAGATATAAATTTATTAATAATTTAATTTTGAAAGACAATGTCATTTAAAAATTATGTTAAAATTAATTTTAAAAAAATTATATCCAAATAAATTGTGTTATAATATAATCAATTATAATTAAAATTTATCATTTAATTAATTATTTTTATAATTTATTATTCTCAATTAAAATTTAAATGGGTATTACTTCTATAACTTTTGTCTCATATCCCCTTTGATTTGGATTTGAGCATTCATTTTGAATTATGATCTTCAACCAGAGCCACTCACTGTCATCACTAATCATCGGTTTATCTTTAACCTTTTGCCTTCAATACGGATGCATAGTGTAGTTAATGAAGATTGATTTGAGTTGTTACTTATTTCTTTCTTAACTTGACGCTTTTTCAACCAGAAACGACAGGCACACTATTAGGTTACTGACATTTAGTAGGGTGTGGCGGAAAATTGATGCAGGACCCACTTGGTAATGGAGACACTAATGTTGAAGTTGAATTTATGCACGCTCTGATTCTCCCTATCTTCAAATCCGTCTTTTTTTGGGGTTTTTTGGATCCCAAATAATTATATCTCAGGCAGTTCCTAAAAGTTTCCACTGTTGGCATTTTTACCCCTTTCGGTCTGGACTTGCGTAGAATCCAAGTGCTCCTCTTTTCACTCTTTCCTCTCAAAAGCTACTGTAGGATCGCACAAACAAGAGGGAGAAAGAGAAAGAGGGAGCGATGGAGGAATAGCTATTCCTCCGTGGTTGACTATGCATTAACGGGAATCAGAACCTGTACTTGAGCTCCGATTCTAAACATTCCACACTCTCTCCAGACTCTTAATCTCTTCCTGGTGAGTTATCAAGAATATTATTTCTTTCTTCCTTGCACTGTCGCCTCTAATCATCCAGCAACCTTTATTCTTGCGGAAATTTTTATCAATATACAGCCGAATCTGTGAGAGAGTGTGTTGTGGGGTGTTTATTTTCTAAATACGGAGCTTGAATTGGGTGCTGCTTCTCAAAATTTGGAGTTTGCTTGTTTAATTGCCATGCGATGTGATTGATATTGGTTCGAGAGCAAGATCATCGTTTTTGTATGGTTGAGATTCATTTGCAACGGATTAGCCATAAAAGTTTCATCGACATCTTTTACGTTTTAAATTGTTCTTCCCGACATACTAACTGATTCCTCCAAAATTAGATATAAGCACGCTTTCTGATACGCAGTATCGGTCGTGGATAATTTTTCGTTTATTGATATTTATATGTTCCGGTTCCTCCTTTACTCCTTTTGTCACATATGTAGCATTCGAGTGTGCGGTACTCAGAAGAACTACTACTGCCTCTAGAGGAGTAGAGAATATGCTAGGGATTTCTTTATGGAAGAGGCTTGGTCCTTTATTCCATGGTCACTCTGTTCTTTGTCTTGCTTATCTCGGTCAGCACCAACACTTAAACTAGCAAAGTATTTATTAACAATTTAAGCATATTTTATCTGCTTTCATCTTGTTACTGTTGATGCCTTTAAACAATTTCAGAAAGATAATCGTGCTACATCTGAAGACTAGACTTTTGGCCTTACCCGTAGTTGTCCAATGTGTTCGATTAATCTTTGGGAATTTCTTCTATGTTACTCGAGCAATATATTTTCTTATCTCCTTGTGTGGCGCTCTTGCAGGAATAAGTTAGCTGACCTGCTTGCAAATAATAATAATCCATATTATGGGTTGGTTTACAAAGTTGATTAAGGGCTCCAACCATAAAATTTCAAGGGGCCAATATCACGGAAAATATGGAAATGACAAAATTTGGGATGGTCATCGTAATTCAGCGGTAATCACAGTTTCTGCTTCTAGTAAGGAAATAAAATAATTTTATCAGGCTTTCTCACGTCAATCCTATTATCTGACTTTAACAAGTTAGTAGCATGAAACTAGCATGAAACAAGTTCATCTGATACGTCTGAAGTTGTAACAGTGGCAAACTGGGTGCAGGATGATTTGACTGATATTGAGAAAGAAGACATCGACCGTGCTATTGCACTCTCTCTGTCAGAGGAGGATCAGAAAGGGAAAAAAGTTATTGGTAAGGTTTATGCTTTTGCAGAAAGGTGGTTCAAAATTCACTTGCGTGCTTGTTTGACCTGAATTTGACACTACAGCAAGTTAGCATGTGAGATAAAAACTAGGGAAAATATAGTCCAAGTACTATTGAGGGTATTTAATATCAATCAAAGATTAAAAGATTTTTAAATATCACTGTAGTGCAAGGGGACTGATTTGAAAATACTTTTAAATAAGAAAAGAATATAATACCCCTGCCTTTCTTTTTTAAATTGACAAGTAGTTATTCTTAAATTAACAAGTACCTATTCGCATTTAACAAAAAGCCACTCGCTAGTTGATAAGTTCAAGAATATGAAAGAACTTGATTGTAAGAAGGGATAATTGTAGGTCATATTTCAACAAGTAATCATTCATTAATTAACAAGCATTCATTTACATTTAACAAGAAGTCATTTACTAATTGATAAATTCAATACAACAACAACAACAACAAGCCTTTATCCCATTAGGTGGGGTCGGCTACATGGATTGCAAGACGCCATTGTGCTCTATCATTTATCAAGCTTTTGGGAATATTATTAATTAAGAGATCGCATTCAATAACTTCCAAGAGTGTTCTCTTAGGCCTTCCTCTACCTCTCTTAATCGGACTCAAAGTTATATGTTTCACTCTTCTCACTGGTGCCTCCCTTGGTCTTCTTTGTACATGCCCAAACCATCTCAACCGATTTTCTACCATATTTTCCTCAATAGGTGCCACCCTCATTTTTTTGCGTACGTGCTTATTTCGAATTTTATCTTTACGTGTATGTCTGCACATCCATCGTAACATTCTCATTTCTGCTACTCCAATTTTATGCTCTTGCTGTCCCGTTAGAGCCCAGCATTCACTACTATATAATATTGCAGGTCTGATAGCAGTGTGATAAAACTTTCCTTTAAGTTTATTAGGCACCTTACGGTCGCAAATAACTCCTTTAGCTTTTCTCCAATTAAACCATCCAACTTGAATTCTATGTAAAATATCTCCACTGATTTCGTCATCATTTTGAATAATGGCTCCCAAATATCTAAACTTTTCCACTTGAGGTATAATTTGATCTCCCAATTTCACTTCTAAATTATTGTCAAATAATCCTTTACCAAATTTACAATATAAATATTCCGTCTTACTTCTACTCAGACAAAAACCTTTCGACTCCAATGTCCTCCTCCATAACTCAAGTTTGCAATTAACCTCTTCTCTTGTCTCTGCTATAAGAACTATATCATCCGCGAAGAGCATACATTTCGGAATTTCCCCTTGAATATGTTCCGTCAAAACATTTAAGATCAAGTTGAACAAATAAGGACTCAGAGATGATTCCTGATGTAGTCCAATCTTTATAGGAAAATCCTTTGTTTGACCACTAGGCATTCTTATACTAGTTTTTACCCCCTCATACATATCTTGTATGGCTTTAATATAAGCAATCCGTACTCCCTTTTTTTCTAACGCTTTCCAAAGCACTTCTCTTGATATACGGTCATAAGTTTTTTCCAAATCAATAAAAACCATGTGTTGATCTTTATCTTTACGATGATACTTTTCCATTAATCCCCTTAGTAGATAAATCACCTCTGTAGTTGATCTACCTGGCATAAAACCAAACTGATTCTCAGAAATACTGATAAATTCAATAATTTGAAAGAATTTGGTTGTGGGAAGGGACAAGTATAGATCATGTTTCAACAAGTAGCTATTCGTTAATTAACAAGTGTCCATTTGTGTTTAACAAGAGGTCATTCGCTAATTAACAAGTTTAAGAATTTGAAAAAACTTGGTTGCGGGAAGGGATAAATGTAGATCATGCTTTAACAAGTAGCCATTTGTTAATTAACAAGTACTCATTTGCATTTAACAAGAAATTATTCATTAGTTGACAAGTTTTAAAAAAGAAATGAAAAGCAAGGATGTTATAGTCTTTTTCCATTTAAAATTATTTTCAAATCAGTCCCCTAGTCCTGCAGTGATATTTCAGAATCTTTAGATATTTGTTTGATATTAAATTGCTTTCATCGTCCTTGAATGATATTTTCCCTAAAAACTATATATTGTAACCAATATGCACATTTTAGAGTTGGTTTATTTTTTATGCACTCTAGTTAAGTCCTGTTTGACTGGACTTCGCTTGACTTCTCATAGGCTATGATGACACATTGCCAATGATCAAGATATCTGTCAATACTCTAATTCTAGTGATAGTAAAAATGAAAGATTTCTAAATTATGATTTAAACCTCTTCTCACAATACATACTGGGTTTTGTTTATTCTGGTAGTTTTTATTTGATAGATTTCACTGGAGAAATTTTGTTTGGTCTCATTCAGTTTATATGTTTGGAAGTGGTTGCTATCAACTGAGTTTTCTATTTTTTCCTGCTGAAAGAAAAATTTATAAGGTCTCATATTTTGCCTCATCATATCCCAGAGTTTGACTTACAGTCTCATGTTTTTGCCTCATCATATCCCAGAGTATGATTCACGGTCAGAAGATGAAGAACTTTGTCCACTTGATGAGGAGGAAGATGAACATCTTGGTAAAGTTCGAGAAGAGGAAGCTGAAAGTCTTGCTAACAATCAAAAGGAGGAAGACGAACATCACACAAAGCTTCAACTTGAGGAAGATGAACAACTTGCGAGAGCAATTCAAGAGAGTTTAAGCATGGGTTCTCCTCCTCGATACAATACGGGTTCTTTATTTCAACCATTTTCTATGTTTTCCACTGGATACAGGTAACTGGATATGATGTCATTTTTCAGTTGCAACTGACTAGTAAAATTCTGTATATGAAAACTGCAATAGTTAGTCATGATAAAAGGGTAACAAATGATTTTTCTAATGAGTAGATTGTCAAATGTGCATATGCAGATATTGATGATTTTCTTCTCTTTTTTCCCCTCTCCCTCACTTTTTGCCCTAACCTCCTCTCTCATGGACAACATTATCTTTCTTTCGTCTTCTCAAATTTGGGAAAGGAGTGGAGAGTGATACTCTTAAGCACAAGTTACCAACAGAATAAAAAATGACAAAATCTTGTGACATGAGATGAGAAGCAAAGCTTGAAGGAGCGTGATCACTGATCATTAAGTCTCACATTGTATTATAAGATTATTTGATCTTGTCAAAGTGAAAGAGAGCAACAAAGAAAATCATAAGTTCTGAGCTGTCAAACAAGCAGCTTTGAATTGATATCAGGTCATCTTAATTTAGTATAATTTAGTCTGCAGTCCCAAACAGGGATAAATACTGCAAAAGGATTTTTTTAAATATCATTATCCGAGTGGGATAAGGCCTGCTGTTGCTGTTATATCTAACTGAGTCAGATTGATCATTGTCAGCCCAGAGTCTGTCAGTTTTTGTGCTTGTACAAAACATACATTGTGGGTCAGATGAACTTGATACAAAATTAGTCATTGGAGCAAACATCTGATAACGAATTTGAGCTAGTTCATATTTATGGTGAGTGACTAATTGGATATCTTGAAATTGTTTCAATCACGTAGGAAAATTGAAATCACTTCAGTCCCTTATCCCTATACGTAGCATTTTCTAGTTGCTTTTATTAATTTCATAATTTTAAGTTACTGAAATTACTGATTTAACCTTGTTCTGGTTTAATCTGTTTAGGATCTGTGCTGGCTGCAATGCTGAGATCGGCCATGGAAGATTTTTAAGCTGTATGGGAGGTGTCTGGCATCCAGAATGTTTTCGTTGTCATGCTTGCAATCTACCAATTACTGATTATGAGGTGAAATTTTTCTTGTGTTTGCCACTGGCTTCTTGAAAATGAGAGCCTTTAGCTTATTTCCTTTTATTTTGTGGCAAATTTGGTTGTAATTAATGCTTGAATCTTCGTTCATTTACAGTTTTCCATGTCTAGCAATCGCCCTTACCACAAATCCTGCTACAGGGAGCAGCATCACCCAAAATGTGATGTTTGCAAGAATTTTGTAAGTATCTTATCAGTTGTATTTTTTGTTGACAGTTTTCTAATAGTCTATCATGGTCTGCTTGTGTTAGGTGAAAGATTTCACTAAATTTTGTTATGCTTTGCACTTTGCAACTGAATCTTTATACTTGGGAGGCAAGGACCAATCATGTTTAGCTGTTTTTGTAACCATGTTGAACAGATTGTAATTCAGGATTGTACTTAAGAAGGCTATGCTGAACATTTTACTCGTTTTTTCTTTGTCTTAAATTATGGGCCAACTACCTAACAGAAATACATTGTCGGAACTGTGACTGGAACTGTAAAAGATCATATGCCAGATATAAATGCATTACTTCTTGGGCTAGTAGATCTGGGATTTTCCAATTATCCATGCCTTTGTATCAGTATATGCTGTCAAGGTATAGGGTAAAACACAATCCTATATTAACAGAAAACTCACATTTTCTTTTCTTTTAACATCTCAAATCATAACTTTTGTAGTAACAGACAAGTTATTGTACGATTTTCAATCATCCAATGCTGCAGGGGAGAAATAAAAATGTGATCTTAAGATTTCAATAAATTTAGAAGCACAATCTTTGCTTGTCAAGTACAAACATTTTATATTTGATGAGAGTGCTACAGTTAATAGGTGCGCCTATATTGTATTTTGATTTTTTTTTTTTTTGAAATGTTAACTGATGAAGTTCTACTTGTGTTTTCTTTAACTAACAGTTTTTTTAAGACTTGTATCTTTAATTACAAGAGGGTGTTAGTGATACACCTCAAGCAGGATAACAACTGTGATGCTTCCTTCCTAAACGAAAGCAAAAGAAAAACAACAATTTTCCTTTTTTTTTTAATTTCACAAGTCACAATTATCAGTCAGTAATCTTAATTTATTTATTCTTTTCTCACAGATTCCCACAAATTCAAATGGCCTCATTGAATATAGAGCACATCCTTTCTGGCAACAAAAATACTGTCCATCACATGAACGTGACGGCACTCCTCGCTGTTGTAGCTGTGAAAGAATGGAGGTCAGTTATATCAGCTGCCAGAAACATTTTGTCCTTTTATTTGTTACCAACCTTGATGTCCTGATGTATTGTCTCTTTTTGACCCCTCTCTCTACTTGTTTCTTTCCTTTTGTGCTATCTGATATGATTTTTCCAATCAATGCAGTCAAGGGACGCAAAATATCTTTTGCTGGATGATGGCCGGAAGCTATGTCTAGAGTGTCTAGACTCTGCGATAATGGATACTCATGAATGCCAGCCACTCTACCTTGAGATACAAGAGTTTTATGAAGGCTTAAACATGAAAGTGGAGCAGCAAATTCCTATGCTTTTGGTTGAGAGACAAGCACTGAATGAGGCCATGGAGGGAGAAAAGAATGTAAATTATAGTGTGTTGAACATTTTCTTTATTTTGGGTCCTCTTTCTAGTGTATTGATGTTGGAGTTAATTTTTATATTTCAATGCAGGGTCATCACCATTTACCTGAAACTAGAGGACTTTGCTTGTCAGAAGAGCAGACTGTCACCACTGTAGGAATTTCTTCCTTGCAACTTTTGAGTCTTCATAGACAATCTGAATTCTGAGAAGACTCTGTACAAATATCTGCCCTTATTTATTTATTTATTTATTTTCATCCTATACCAGATTTTAAGGAGACCGAGGATCGGAGCAGGCTACCGAATCGTAGACATGATAACTGAACCTTATAGGCTGATCCGTCGCTGTGAAGTTACTGCCATTCTTATTTTATATGGCCTTCCGAGGTATCTTTATGATTCAATCTATGCTCATTATGCACCGCCGGCATAGAAATTTCACTGAATATGATGCAACAATTTTCTATTAATAGGCTGTTAACAGGATCAATCCTGGCTCATGAGATGATGCATGCATGGCTAAGGCTTAAAGGTATTTATCCTGCTATCTTGTGATGAACCCCATAAGAACAATAAAACCTCCCAAAATCATTTTCTAGGGTGTTATGTTCCACTGAATTTTATGGGATTTTGATAGGTTACCCCAATCTGAGCCCTCAAGTTGAAGAAGGAATTTGCCAAGTTTTGGCTCATATGTGGTTGGATTCAGAAATGTATTCTGGATCTGGGAGCGATGGTGCATCATCCTCATCATCATCTTCATCATCATCCTCACCTTCCTCCTCTTCCTCCACGTCATCAAAGAAAGGCAAAAGATCCGACTTTGAGAAGAAACTGGGCGAGTTTTTTAAACACCAGATTGAGTCAGATGCCTCATCAGCTTATGGAGATGGATTCAGATTGGGTAACCAGGCAGTGCACAAGTATGGGCTTAGAAGGACCCTTGACCATATCCAACTAACAGGAAGTTTTCCGTTATGAAGATGATAGAAAATAAAATTGCTTTACTATTACAAGGACCTATACCACAACTTTTTGTCATGTAATTATAAACTCTATAGAATGCAAAGATTCCAAAATCGTATCATTTAAAACTTATTTAGAGAAAATAAGTAGTCCGTTCTAACGTGCAGATGCTGTAATATGTGAAATGTTTGTCACTGCATTTATATATGCTTTACGGATGCTATACAGGTATTGAGAAAATTAAACAGTGAATATATGGAATTAATATTCGCGTGTTTGGTGTAATGATGTTTGCATTTTGTATTTATTTCAATGTTTAATATTTTAGTTTATATTCAGTTGGTTCAGAGGGAAGTTTATCCTTCTAGTTGAGAAAGCCTTCGGGAGTGTTGATAAATAGGGAAGTTTTCTTCTTCTTCCTTTTTTTTTTTTGGTCGGGTGGGAAGGTAGGGGGAGCTTATTATTTGAAAAGAAAAAATATAGCTTTTAATTCTTATATTTTGTTTGTGTTTTATTTTTTGTCTCTATATTTTTTTTTATTTTAAGTTCTTATATTTTTATTTTTTATTATTTTTGATCTATGAATAAAGTATGAGAATTTTGCGGAAATCAAAAATAATAAAAAATAAAAATATAAGGAATTAAAATATTAAAAAAGTATAAAAATTAAAGGAAAAACGCGAGTAGATAACAAAAATCAAAAGCTATGTTTTTTCTTATAATAATGATTATTTTTATATTATTGCAAAAATTCTTGTTGACCACGACGGCGACATTGATTCATTTGTTTTCCAGACAAATGGGAAAATGGACTGTAGAGAATGGATTTCTCAAAATTCGTTATCAGTGCAAGAGTTTTGAACATAAAAATAAACCAAAAAAGCAAGAACTTCGAGTATGGAGCGTATCTCTGAAATAAAAAAAAAAAAATCTGCTAACAGTGCGTTACTCTGTCACTTTGAGATGTTTATATTTTCATAAGGAATGCGGTTTATATAATTTATTATAAATTATATATCAGTATGCCAATATATTGATGTTAATCAATGTGTATAATAAGATATATAAAAGTAATATATTTATAAATTATAATTAATGAGATTTATGTTAAATTTTCCAGAACAAAAACTTAGATAAAACGAGGATTCATTAATCATAAATTACATTTGAAAGTCAACAAAGTATTCTTTTATTTTAATTACACATAGGAATTCTCTTTTTGGAGGGTATTCTGTTTTAGATATTGCTAATGCTAAGTGCTAAATGAGAGCATATCTTATAGCAAAGATTCAAATCTTAAATTCACTCTATTATGAAGAATTAACCAATCATTATATATATATATATAAGGTTAAAGGCTATGAGAAATTGCCACATGTTTATTTTTAGGTTTGTTGTAATCTCATATTTTGAAATGTCTTTCCTGCGATTTCGTGCTCTGGAGTTAGGTTTGGTGTTAGGTTCAGGCTAATTATTATTTTTTAATATCTATAAAATATGTTATTTAAATTTGGAGTTAGGTGTGGGATGGCTTACTAATTTTTAGATATATATAAAAATTATTTTTTACCTATTTGAAATTCAAATCTCATCATATTTGAATTCAAATTAATATCTATCCATTTAAAGTTTTCATCCACTCTAAAAATATGTCAAAAATATAGATTCATATGATCGAGTATATATATGTAAATATATTGGTATTCAAATTTAAACTAATATTTATCTATCTAAATATTTAGAAAATAGAATATGTGTTTGAATATTTAGACTATCCTCATGATTTTAGAAAGTTATAAATATGATAAAGAATAGATATTAATCTATTTAATAATTTAGATCTCATGATGTTAAAATTTCATATATTATAAATTTCATAATATAGGTATTAATTTATTTAACAATAAAATATTTAGAACTATTGTTTGTTATCTATGGTATTAAGATGTTAAATTTTGAATAATACTAACATGTTAAAAAAGCCCTCGTGAAGTTTATTAAAATTCAAATATATTAAATATCTATACTCACAACAATAATTATTTAATATATATCATCTTGATTTTTAAAAATTACCTCTTAATTTTCTCTCTCAATTCAGCCTTATTCAATTATAAATTACTAGATTAGGTCAATAACACATTTCACACCTTCACATTCATCTCACTTCTTTAATTATGTTTGGTTTATTTTTCTCTCAATTGTTATTCATACTATCAATGGTTTCTACGTCTAAGATGCATGCAATTCACTTCATTAATACAATAAAAAAAGATTAACGCATTATGGTTAGGGTGATTCATATTTAGAGATTGCTAGGTAGAAATATATTCGAAGAATCCAATGGAGTGTTGAATTAGTCTTTTAGAATGTTTGAGTAAGTGTTTATGTTTTTTGTATTTGTTTTTTTATAATTTGAATCTCATGAATTACATCCAATATATAATACTTATTCTATCTGTAGGACAACATTACTATAGGGTGGCCGAATCTCTACAGTCATTTGGAAGCCTTTTGTGAAATGTTCTAGAGATATATTGCATGTCTCCTAGTGCTCCTGATCATATCGGACAACATATTGTCCTTACAGGATTAGCTTCATGTTCTTTATGTGAAAATTGCATTTTGAAATGGATTCCATCCATCCATCACTTTAAGTTTAATTTTACTAACATTCCGGAACTTACAAATAGAGAGGCAATAAATGATAATTACTTTGTTAGTATTTATTTAAATTTTTTAAATTTGTTCTTTGAAAACCCTATTTAGCATGTTTAAGATAATACCTTATCTTAATTCTTTATTATCAATTCAAAAATTTTAATTGTGGATTGTCTAATATTATTTAATATATAAAGATTGTGTACATATATTAAATAATCTTATTTTATATAACAAATTCTCGACTATCTTATATAATATAATTTTTTATCCATTTTCATCTATATTTAAATCTTTAAAACTCAAATTATTGTGAAATATTAAAATTTGATGAACTTTCATAAAATTTAATATTTTCTTAAGGTTAAGATATTGATTGTTTCTTGTGTAAAGTTTAAAATCTAAAAATAGTAATATTTTTAATTAAATAATGTTATTTCTATTTGCTTATTAAAAATAGTATTACTTAATTTAATGATATTTTTAAATAACTAATAATTTTATTTAATTAGTAAATATTGAGATTTGAAATTCAAATATGTTATCAAAATAAGTTAAAAGTGCAAAACATCGACCAATTGAATGTACAAAAAATTATCTTTAAAATATATCTTTGATAAAATAATTCTCCTAAATTAATCATAACTTTGAGGAGTATTTAAAATTTTGGCATGCTATAATTTGAATAGGATAAGTTAATAATATTGGTCAATATATTTAACTATTTTGGATTGCCAATATAATGTAGTTAATAATAAAAAGACTTTAAGTTATTAATAAAAAAAATCTTTAAGTTTAAATTTGAAATTTTAAGCTAGATAAATTAAAATTTTAATATATGATGATTAGAAAATATTATCAATTTTAATTTAAATTTTCATCCATGTATATATTATAATAATTAAAAAATAGAATACATTAACTTCTTTTCTAATTTAATTTCATTAAATATGCATCCTTTTTTATTTTTTAAACATACACGAACTTTTTCTAGAATTAATAATTTTTTAACAAAAATTTTCTTTCTATTTTAAAATTTTTATTTTCATTTATTCAATTATTAATTAACTATTAAGTCATATATTAAATTAAAATAGTCTATTTAAATGTAGATGTTTTGTAGCAATCATTTAATATATCTAAAATAATATTTTAAATATGTATATGAAAAAAGCTTAATGAAATAGGGAAGTAATTCATAATGAGAATAAATTAGTCAGTATAATTTATGCTTTCTTTTTTTTTAAATGTTATTAGTTTGATCACAAAATTTCTAAATTACTTAGTTTAAAATTTTCACATTTAATTATTTAAAGTTCCTTAACTTGAGGAGGAGAGAGAATATACAAATACATTACGAGGACAAATTAATACTTTTAAGTTTTTTAATATAATAAAATTTAAAAAATTAAATTATTTTAAAATTTTTAATTGAATATTCCTAATGGGGCTAAAAAGTGGAGTAAAGTGTAGGTTTTAAAATCAAAAGAGAGATTTGTGTAATTTTAGAAAAATGGAGGGAGAAGATTGTATTTTACTCTAATTAAAATAAATGGTATTGGCTACCATTTTATTCTAGCTATATATTATACTAATCAAATAAGGAAGGTTAATTTAATTAGATGTTGGAACAAAATGATAAAGATTGGAAGAGGAAGGATTGAATAATTAAACAATAAAAAATTATAAGCGGGTTAGCTCACAGGTTGGCGGGTTTGGGTTAAATGGTGTGAGCCAAAACTAGCCAATATCTAATTGAGCTCCAGATTATACAACCTAACCTGCCACTCTTTGGCAAGGTTCGACTCACGAGCTTGATTTATATTACCAACTCTAATTGAAATCAAAAAAATACTACAATCTAATGGAAAAAGTCTTAGAGATTAAAGCTTATACTTTTACTTGACATGTTAAGTTTGGATGCAAGTGAAAACAAATTAATAAGAAATGAGCTAAATTATAATAAGGTTGCATTATATGATGAATTGATAAGATTGCTTTAAAGCCTAACTTTTTATAAAAAAGAAGATCTCTGATAATGCTATTGAATTTGATAAAGAAGATATTTTTTTTTTAATGTATGGATATGGTGGTGTTAGGAAGACATATATTTGGAGGACACTTTCTACTTCATTAAGATCTAGAGGCAAAATAGTTCTCAATATAGCATTAAGCAGGATAGCCTACTAGGAGGACATACAACTCATTCAAATTTTGTTTTCTCTTTTTATGAATGAAGATACTCTACGTAGCATGAAACATGGAAGCGACTTGGCTGAATTATTTGTTTGCATATCATTGATCATATGAGATGAAGCTCTAATGGCATACAAGTTTTGTTTTGAAACTCTTGACAGATGCCTAAAGGATATTCTAAAATTAAATAGCCTATTAGTTGGTGATCTTTCTTAAAGTTGCTATGTTTGGTAGAGATCTAAGGCAAATTTGGCCTTCCTGTTATTCTAGGTGAGTTAAGAGATATTTTTATAACTATTAACTTTTTGTTTTGGGACAATTGTCAACTTTTGACACTAACAATAGACATGAGACTTCTATGAACAAATAATAGGGTATCTATTAGTGCTCTTTAAAATTTTACTAATTGGGTTATCTCAATTGGTGAT